GGGCCTCCTCCCGGTGGGACATGCCCGGAACACCTCCCCAGGGAGGCGTCCAGGAGGCATCCGGAACAGATGCCCGAGCCACCTCAACTGGTTCCTCTCCACGTGGAGTAGCAGCGGCTCTACTCCGAGCTCCTCCCGTGTGACTGAGCTCCTCACCCTATCTCTAAGGGAGCGCCCAGCCACTCTGCGGAGGAAGCTCATTTCGACCGCTTGTATCCGCGATCTTGTTCTTTCGGTCATTACCCAAAGCTCATGACCATAGGTGAGGGAGGGGACGAAGATTGACCGGTAAATTGAGAGCTTTGCCTTTCGGCTCAGCTCCCTCTTTACCACAATGGTCCGATACAGCTCTGACTGCAGACGCTGCTCCCTCTTTACCACAACGGTCCGATACAGCGACCGCATCACTGCGCACGCTGCACCGATCCGCCTGTCAATCTCACGCTCCATCCTCCCCTCACTCGTGAACAAGACCCCGAGATACTTGAACTCCTCCACTTGAGGAAGGACCTCTCCACCCACCCGGAGAGGGCAAGGCACCTTTTTCCGGTCGAGCACCATGGCCTCAGATTTGGAGGTGCTGATTCTCATCCCAGCCGCTTCACACTCGGCTGCAAACCGTCCCAGTGCATGCTGCAGGTCCTGGTTCGTTGGAGCCAACAGGACAACATCGTCTGCAAACAGCAGAGATGAAATCCTGTGGTCCCCGAACCGGACCCCCTCCGACCCTTGGCTGCGCCTAGAAATTCTGGCCATAAATACAGTGAACAGAACCGGTGACAAAGGGCAGCCCTGGCGGAGGCCAACATGCACCGAGAACAGGTCTGACTTACTGCCGGCAATGCGCACGCAGCTCTGGCTCCGGTCATACAGGGACCAGACGGCCCTCAGCAGAGGACCCCGGACCCCGTACTCACGGAGGACCCCCCAAAGGACACCCCGGGGAACACGGTCGAACGCCTTCTCCAAATCCACAAAGCACATGTGGACAGGTTGGGCGAACTCCCATGAACCCTCGAGTATCCGATGGAGAGTGTAGAGCTGGTCCAGTGTTCCACGGCCGGGACGAAAACCACACTGCTCCTCCTGAATCCGAGATTCGACCATCGGCCGTAACCTCCTCTCCAATACCTTGGAGTAAACCTTACCAGGGAGGCTGAGGAGTGTGATCCCACGATAATTGGAACACACACTCCGGTCCCCCTTCTTGTAGAGAGGGACCACCACCCCGGTCTGCCACTCCATTGGCACCGCCCCCGATCGCCACGCGATGTTGCAGAGACGTGTCAGCCAAGACAGTCCTATAACATCCAGAGACTTTAGATAGTCAGGACGGATCTCATCCACTCCCGGCGCCTTGCCACCAAGGAGGCTGCCAACCACCTTGGTGACCTCTGCCAGGGTGACAGAAGTATCCGCCCCAACATCCTCAGCCTCTGCCTCCGGAGCGGAGGACGTGACGGGGGGATTGAGGAGAACCTCAAAGTATTCCTTCCACCGTCCGACAATATCCCCGGTCGAGGTCAGCAGCTCACCCCCCGCACTGTACACGGTGTTGGCAAAGAACTGCTTCCCCCTCCTTAGGCGACGGACAGTTTGCCAGAATCTCTTCGAGGCCGACCGATAGTCATGCTCCATGGACTCTCCGAATTCCTCCCAGTCCCGGGTTTTTGCCTCTGCAACAGCCCGGGCCGCGGCACGCTTGGCCTGCCGGTACTGGACAGCTGCCTCAGGAGTCCCCCGAACCATCATGGCTCGATAGGACTCCTTCTTCAGCCTGACTGCATCCCTTACTGCCGGTGTCCACCACCGGGTTCGGGGGTTGCCGCCGGGACCAGCACCAGAGACCTTGCGACCACAGCTACGAGCCGCCGCATCGGCGATAGAGGAAGAGAACATGGTCCACTCAGACTCAATATCCCCCTCCTCCGCCGGGACCTGGGAGAAGCTCTCCCGGAGGTATGAGTTGAAAGTCCGTCTGACAGGGGTCTCAGCGAGACGTTCCCAGCAGACCCTCACTACACGCTTGGGTCTGCCAGGTCTGACCGGCTTCTTCCCCTGCCAGCGGATCCAACTCACGACCAGGTGGTGATCGGTTGACAGCTCCGCCCCTCTCTTTACCCGAGTGTCCGAAACACGCGGCCGAAGGTCAGATGATACGACAACAAAGTCGATCATCGACCTCCGGCCTAGGGTGTCCTGGTGCCACGTGCACTGGTGGACACCCTTGTGCTCAAACATGGTGTTCGTGATGGACAAACCGTGACTAGCACAGAAGTCCAACAACTGAACACCACTCGGGTTCAGATCAGGGGGGCCATTCTTCCCGATCACCCCTCTCCAAGTGTCACTGGCGCTTCCCACATGGGCGTTAAAGTCCCCCAGGAGAATGACGGAGTCCCCGGGCGGTGCACCGTCCAGTACCCCTCCCAAGGACTCCAAGAAGGCCGAGTACTCTGCACTGCTGTTAGGCCCGTAGGCCGTCACAACAGTGAGAGACTTGTCCCCCACCCGAAGGCGGAGGGACGCGACCCTCTCATTCACCGGGGAGAACTCCAACACGTGGCGGCTGAGATGGGGGGCAATGAGTATGGCCACCCCAGCTCGCCGCCTCTCCCCGCGGGAAACACCAGAAAAGTGGAGCGTCCAACCCCTCTCAAGGAGTCGGGTTCCAGAGCCCAAGCTGTGTGTGGAGGTGAGGCCGACTATCTCTAGTCGGTACCTCTCGACCTCCCCCACAAGCTCGGGCTCCTTCCCCCCCAGTGAGGTGACGTCCCAAGAGCCAGATGTTGGGTGTGCGGACTGGGTCGCCGAGGTCTCCGCCTTCGACTGCTGCCCAGTCCTCTCTGCACCGAGCCGCCACGGACCCCTCTGCGGGGGGTGGGCCCACAGGAGGGACTGCCCACGTCGTCCTTTCGGGCTGAGCCCGGCCGGGCCCCGTGGGCTAAGGCCCGGCCACCAGGCGCTCGCATTCGAGCCCCGACCCCAGGCCTGGCTCCAGGGTGGGGCCCCGGCTGCGCCATGCCGGGCGACGTCACGGTTCTTCTTTTCGTGCTGTCTATGTTGGCTTCTGACTGCTCTTCGTCTGACTCGTCACCTGAGACCTGTCTGCCATGGGAGACCCTACCAGGGGCATGAAGCCCTGTGTACCATGGGAGGCCCTACCAGGGGCATGAAGCCCCAGACAGCATAGCTCCCAGGATCATCCGAGTACTCAAACTCCCCCACCACGTTAAGGTGGCAGTCCAGGGGGGTAAATAAATAAAGCATTAGTTAATTCAAAATGTCATAATAAATAGACAGATTCTTATTAGGGTCAGTTTATTTATTTCATTCTATATTTTGATAACACAAATTCTCTGTATTTAGTTTTGAATGGATGTTGCTGGAGCTGTTGTCCAAGTCCATTCCAAACTTTAACTCCACAAACAGAAACAAACATTTTTCTCCTCATGGTCCTAGAAACCTTTGAGTTTTCCAAATCCCCTCAGACTGTAACCTCCGTCTCTTTCTGCACAGAGTCTTTGGACATTTGCCCACAACATATATTTACTTTCTTTGCGCAGGAGTTGTGCTGTATGAAATTCAACTAAGTCAAAAAGCTTTAACAATTTAGACTTTAAAAAAAGTACATTTGTGTGATCCAAATACCAAACCATGTGAATATTTCTTACAGCACGGCAAGGAGAGAACTTTTATAATTATTAGCCCAAATTTCCAACCCATGGGATAAGTATGTTTGTTATGTCTGCTTATGTTGTGTTGACTAAGGATACGTGCTACTGTCCCTTTAAGACAGGGCTGTCAAAGCGGTTCCAGAAAGGCCCAGTGGCTGCAGGTTTTAGCTCCAACCTTCACAACACAAGACTCCACCCAGTTCCTTAAATCTTCACATTCAAACTGGACTCACCTGAGGAAATGGGTGGAGCCATGGATCTAGAATAATATCTGGATAGAGTATTACTCGCTTACAGCTGTCCCACCCACGGCCACAGGGGGCGCTGTGGTACTGCAGACCTTATTCACGAGGGCTACCCAGAAAAATGGTCCATAGAACTCAATGTAAACTAAAACAGCTCCACCTCAGCTGACAGAGAACCTGAGAGAGAACCTGACAGAGAACCTGACAGAGAACCTGACAGAGAACCTGACAGAGAACCTGACAGAGGACCTGACAGAGGACCTGACAGAGAACCTGACAGAGATCCTGACAGAGAACCTGACAGAGAACCTGACAGAGAACCTGACAGAGAACCTGACAGAGAACCTGACAGAGGACCTGACAGAGAACCTGACAGAGGACCTGACAGAGAACCTGACAGAGAACCTGACAGAGAACCTGAGAGAGAACCTGAGAGAGAACCTGACAGAGAACCTGACAGAGAACCTGAGAGAGAACCTGAGAGAGAACCTGACAGAGGACCTGACAGAGAACCTGACAGAGAACCTGACAGAGAACCTGACAGAGAACCTGACAGAGAACCTACAGAGAACCTGACAGAGAACCTGACAGAGGACCTACAGCTTTCATAAAGGTCGTAGGTCGTGGGGATGTTAGTGTCCCTTGTCGTCCTGAACTTTTTCTTCTTAAATCCTTCGTTTTTCTTTAAATCCACACTTTACTGCCACAAACTCTGCTCGTTTTTTGGTCAGAACGCTGCCCTCTGATTGGTCGAAGCGCGGCCGAGCCCCTCTGTGCACGTGCATGAGAGACACACAAAATGTGCAGTCACATTTTCTGGTGTTTTAGTTGAAGATATTCTTTATTTGAACTTAAAAGTAGCTCCTTTATCAGTGTAGTAATGTGTTTTTGTTTGTTTAGAAGTGACTGTCACATTTGCAGGTGCGCCACCAGGGGGCGGTGTCGTGAGCAGTAGTGGGACTTTCCACCAGGGGGCGGTGTCGTGAGCAGTAGTGGGACTTTCCACCAGGGGGCAGTGTCGTGAGCAGTAGTGGGACTTTCCACCAGGGGGCGGTGTCGTGAGCAGTAGTGGGACTTT